GGGTCCCGGGGCGCAGAGCGTGACCCTGCCCAGCGGCACTGCCTCCCGGGCACACCCCCCTTGCCTTCCAAAGAGCCCGGCGTCGCCCCACCTCGAGGAGGCTTCCACGAACTACATCACCCCACCCTGGCAGGGAGTGGGCAGAGGGGGCCCAGGAGAGGGGCTGCAGGGCAGCGAGCAGGAGGCTGGGGACACTTGGGCACCAGCCTCGGGAGGCCCCCGCGTCACGGTGTCGAGCTGGGATGGATGAACGCCGGCTCTGGCGAGGGTGGGGCGGGCGTGGAGAAGAATGCTCCGTGGCACAGCGCTCCCACGGTGGCCAGCTCAGCCCCAGTGTGACTTCCCTGACGCCCTGGCCCCAGCCCCTGCCTCCCACCGCTGTGTGCCAACAGCGCAGCGATCCGAGAGTCGGTGCTGCTCGTTACAGCCAGGGGCTGTGGGGCGGAGGCCCGGCTCAGAGGGACTCACAAATCAGCCCCACTGAGCCAAGAGCTGGGCGCAAGGGGCAGGGTGGCACAGACCAAGGGTCTCAGGAAATGAGGCCAGGGCTGGGCGCGGGCTCCTGCTTCTGGAGTCTGTGCCCTTCCTGCCCCTGCTCCCCCGCTATCCCGCGTAGCTGCTCCACAGCACAGCCGAGCTCTCTGAAGGACTCAACTCTTGGGGATGTGGGGCCTGGGCCCAGAGCCCCAACCTTCCGTCCCAGCCCTGGGCTCTGCTGCCCTCCAGTGGCTGATTTGGGGAGCTGCTGCTCCCACCTGGGGAAACCAGAGAGGAGCAATTGGCATAAAACCCAAAACGCTGCCCTCCCCGATGATGGCCGTCATAGCTTTCCATCTGCAAAGCGTCTTGCCAGTCAGTCATGGGCAGCACAGACCAGGGGGCAGGGCTGGACTGAAATCCGATCGGAGCCAACTTATGACCCCGGGTGAGTCACCTCAGCCTCGGGCTCATCTGTAGAACGGGTGACACACTCAGGTATTCGTGAGGATTCAGTGACCCAACACCTGACACTAATTTTAAGGTGAGGACAGTGACACTTGCCCATCTGTCCGTGGGGGTCACTCTATTGGGTTTTGGGGAGCTTTCATTTTGTTTTGCAGTACTGGGGACTTAACTCAGGGACTTGGGGCTGAACTGCATCCCCAGCCCCCCCGCTTTGTACCAGGGATCAGACTCCAGTCCCTGCTCTTGCAAAGCAGGAGCCAGAACCACTGAGCTAAATACCCAGCCCCCAAGTCCTTTTTTATTTTGAGACAGGATCTCACAAAGTCGCTAAATTGCCCAGGCTGGGCTCAAACTTGTGATCCTCCTGCCTCAGCCTCCCAGAGTGCTGGGATGAGAGCTATGTACCACCACACACCTGGCCAGCCTTGTACTTACTATGTAGTCCAGGCCATTCTTGAACTCTTGATCCTCCCGCCTCAGCCTCCTGACTGATGCGATTACAGGCACCTGACACCTTGCCAAGCTGCACAGTGCTTTTTGCTGTCCTTCCTCAAGGTACCCTTCTCCTTTAATCCACACTATTATCCCCATTTAACAGAGAGGGAAGCTGAGTCACAGAAAGGGGAAGTGACTTCCCTGGAGCACGGCCGGATCAAGGCCTCTGCTTGCTTCCCTGCACCCCGATCTGGCCACTTGTGATCACCTCTGAGCCTCACAGCCTCACTGGCCAGCTCCTGTCCCTGCTTCCGAGTCACGTCCTCCTGTTCCCAGGCCCACGCCAGCCTCTCGAGGGCCAGGCCAGCAGCTGGCCCTGCCTTCCAACCAGCTCCCCAGCCCGGGGCAGCCCGGGAGCTGGGAGCTGCTGAGCGGCTCCCAAAGGTCACCCGTGCATCCCTGCAGCCCACCTAGCCCAGCGGGTAACCGCTCATCCTGTTCCTGGGGCGCTCAGGGGAGGAGAGCCCAGAGGCTGCTTCCTGCATCCGCCCAGGTGTTTGGGACAGTTCCCCCGGGGGACCGGAAAGGAGAGCTGAGGCCAAGTTCAAACGCGGGTCAAGAAGGCAAGGGTGGCTGAGCTGGGCTCCTG